ATTAGGTTAGAAGAAGAGGTAATTATCTACCGAATGCGCAATATACTGAATATTTTTATGCTTGTTTTCCATGACATATAATTGGAATTTCAGGGGCATCGAAAGTGAATGAGAAACATTCATGCACATACGCAGTCACTTTTTACAGTGCCGTTTTTGCATGCAGCCGAAAGAAAGGTCATTCGAAAGCAGGAATCTTGACGTAACTGAATAATGTTAGAATTATGCTGCACGATGATTGATTTTTACAACTCCACTTAATTATTCATTTCGAAACGAAAACGCATTTCAGAATTTCGTTTGACATTTCATGAGTTTGGCTACTTACTGTACGCACCACCTTCACTCACTTCCGCGCTCGTGCTTTAGGCTCTGCTTGTAGTTTCTTCCTTCTCATAATCCAGTGAGTGGCTAAGTCTGGTATCTCAGTTGATATCGTTTTAGTAAGCTACTCATACGGTATCAATCAGGTTTGACTGCAGAACCAAACCTCGACTTGATTTTCTTCTTTTTTTTGGCAATGCCTAGCATTCCTCTCCACGGAGTTTTTCAACCGACGAAAATTTCATAGATTTTCGGGCCTACGTCTCAAAGATTGACGATAGCGGCCAACAATCCGCCCAGTATCATTTATTTGTCGACAGTATATCGAGTTGATTTTAGAATGGAATTCTACGGTGTCAAACTCACTTGAAATCTTTGTCCGCTTTCTTCCACAGTCCAGCGAATGATACATCTCAACAACTTAGGGTTCCTAGTCTGTTTTTCGCTATCTTGGACCCTATAGATTTTGCAAGCAGCTGATTCGAGCTCTCCTTTGCTCCTGATTGACGCCGAGAAATGTTTTGATTGCTGACGATTGCGACCGCGTCTTATTTGCTGCGTCATGCGTTTGTTCGTCTTCCGTAATAAGCAACGCTTTCGTCACACTGTATAAGACGTATCTTGATGTAATTTGTTGGCGGAAATATGGACAGATGACACGTTTTAGCTTGAATACCTGAATATTCCTTTCGATCTGTGGTCGGTTTGAATGATTGCGGTAGCACATAGTTTACCCGCAATATGAAGGACAACGGTGTCGGAAATAAAACATCTTAGGTTTTACAGTTTCCAAGCGTTCCAGAGGTTTACACATAAGAGCACGTTAATTCATGCTAGGTTCAGTTAAATGCATACACGATGCCCAAACACGTGTATCCTTATTCGAATAACTTTTCGGAAATAATATTACTCTGTATAATGACAATGTGCAATTAGCAGTTCTGAACTATTTCTGACATTTTACTCCACAATTACATGTTAATTAAATAATTCTCTTGTCATATTATGCTTAACTAAACAGCGCACGTACTGGCATGCTATATATCTGGAAGCGAATCGACAGCCTTAGTCACCTAATGCTTAAAGGTCGGTAGGAAACGACCGCACTAAAACGCTCATCCTTGGTTTGCAAAATATTCATTCTACTTCATTATTTCATAAAAGGACGATTGTTGATGTCAAAAAACTGCAGTTCCATGTTGTACGGACTTTCTAATGCGCACACTTTTAAAGACAATATTCAATTTTACCAAGTCGATTCAAAATAGTAACTTTAAATTGTCAAATGATAATTGTGTTATTCATTGGATTTTGTCTAGTTAATGAAACCAGGTTAAGCATGCTGCATCTTGGAAATGATTTGGTGACTCATTTTAAACAGCATTCCTAAGTACAGAAATTTCGAAGACCACGCATTCAATTACAATCACTAGACAAAATATCTGAGAATGGGTATCGAAGAAATCGTCGGTAGTTATCCTCGAACAGCGAAATATATGTCGGTAAAGAGCTATTGTTTTAACTGTCTGACAGCAGAAAACCTGTAGGCAAGTTGCAGTTACGTAGTGAAGCGCAGTCAACCACTAGGAACATATGATAAATACAGTACATGACCTACCTAATGAAATCCGGTAACAAAAACTGGTGCAAGAATTTCCGGACGTTTTTAACGTTGAGCATTTATTCGCTCATTCACATCCTTCAATGAATTGTCGTCTTCTTGTGTTTACGTAATTATATCAAGTAAAATATCAGTGAATTTTAGCAAAAATAGACGTTGGAAAATATTTGTGCGATTTCCTACGTTAATTCATGTCCTAGACTCCGGTGATGCATCTGAGCGACCTTTTCTTTGTAGAGATAGTAATTATTTTGAAAGAGGTTTAGTAAACAGATTTAGCTGAACTTGAAAATTTATGTCATGCCAATATTAACCCTGGTAATCAAACTGTTAACATAAAGGTTATTTTAAGAAAACCAGATGTGTTATCAATTCCTAAATGTCTACTTAGCAGATCTGTGCGATGTGGTGCCCTAAAGTGCAGTAATAACGCAGATAGGGATTCCTTCGTTAAAGTGGTTTGAATTTTTTCTCCGTTTGGAAAATTCTACATGATGTCACATAAACAACCACCACCGAATGGTCATTTCCAGCTTTAAATATAAGAAACTACTTGTGGTGTAGTTTAGTTTCTGTGCATACCCTAATCAGAAATAGAATGAGCAAAAAATTAATAGTTTCAGCAAAATATCATTATTTATATGGGCGCTCTACTGTGCATTCATAATCGCAGAACGGAGTGTAAAAGCGAGCAAAGCAGTGGAAGTGATCTCAATGTATAGAGAAGAAAATGTTCTTACGTTTACGGTAGAAAAATATTAGTATTCTTTAGGAACGTGAAAGAAACGGTTAAAAGTTTCACATTTTACTTGGTCTCACCGTGCAAAAATGCAAAGTACACAAAGATCCGTCGACGGAGAGCAGTAAAAGCCTTTCTTAAAGAGGATGATAAAGTATTCTGCAAAATTTCAAGGGCCATCTGAAACTCGACGCAATCCTAGACGAACGAAAAGTGCAAATTAATTTAACGAAATAAAATTTCTCTCTAGAAACACAAAATGGCATTTCTACGATCACGCCTGTCGGTTATGTTTAAATTTATTAGGCACCGACCGGCCTTACAGCATGTAATGTTATAAAACCTTTGTAACTACGACGTCTCTATCGGTGAGATCAAGCAAAATCCAGTTTCTCTTGTAGAACCGCATCTCATTCAACTCAAACGAGTCAAGCATAACACGAACCCTTGGAAGAACTTTTTTGAAATCTACACACAGAATGTAGGCAGTTGACAAACCGTCATCTATGAAATCAACTGCTTATTAAACAACACCTAGCTGTAAACTTTACTACAACACTGTTATTAGACGCTATTTTATGTCTACGTTCATATTTACTATGCTTTTGGTATGAGAATACATTCCATCTGAAAACGTTGTTTACTAAATTAGAGCCATTAGTGACGTTTTCGGGATATTGCGCTTTTCTCAGGAAATCGGCATTTCTAAACAACGCAACGCTAACTTAAATATTTCTTTTATGCTTCAAATTCTTTTAAACTTGTACTTAATTAACATAGACATTGGGCTCATGAAATGGTGTCGGTTTTGCGAGTGATTGGCAATCATTCGTAGATTTCGACACATTTCATGAGTTTGCTAACGCACTGTACGTCAGTGGATAAAATGTAATGCTTGAGAAGTTTCGGGACGGGTGAGAGTAATAAAGCTGGCGCTTCGAAACGTTAATGACTTCTTTTAGAACAACCAACCTCGGAATGCTTTCTCGCCTTCTCTTTAGGCATCTGCTGTAATACCCTTCCTTAGACCGAATTCTTTTCTTTTTGCTATTACACCATTGTTCACATGATAACCCCAAAAAAGGTGGAAAGGAACGTTATTTTCATCAGGAATGACCAGGTTTTTTAACCCATCCCCTGAGAGTGGGACATTTGTATATTAGAATAGGTTTGTTTTAATTTGTGCGCAAGGGTTAGTAAAGATATGCACATTTCCATTTGATGGTCTGATATTACCGCAGGTGGTACGAGCGTGGACAGACTTGCCGTTTCTTTAAGACGCTTAAATCCGCTTGCCTGACATCTAATGGGGAATATACAGACATTTTCCATGCTAGGGAGCTATAAAACCTGCCAAATTCTTCTTTCATTATTTTTTAGCTTGTCTATTTGTCAAGTATAAGAAGATTGTACTAATCATTCGTATATTATCCTACGCCCAATATCGAAGAAAATCATTGTTGAACAACAATCCTGTGTATTTTTGACTCGATAGTGACGCATTTAATGCCCAGACGATATCCAAATAAATAAATGCTTTTAGGCACCGTTTTCAATCAGTCGGTGTTTTCTACTACTAGTGGCACTCTTCAATTGGTGTTTCCGCGTATTTATGCAGAAATCGCTTGTTTCATGGAAGTGATTGGTTTCCGATATATTGCTTGCGTAGCCTGACAGGTATCACAAATCAGTTAAAAGAAATACAAATAGGATAGATTACCGGGGACAGAGCGAATAGGCCCGTCCTCCAGGCCCATCAGTGAACATGTCATCTGAAAGAGTGATATGTGTTTTTTCCATTTTCCGCCTCAATTATCCATCTGCATATCCACTGCGCCACTGCCTTCTGTTGATTGGAGCTATTTCATGTTTTCCTTGATGGACGTTTTGGCTTCCCTTTCAACGTCAGTCTGCCGCCACCCATGTGGTCTTTTTGCAAACAGGCCGCAAAGGATTCCACCATTCGTATTAAAACCCGTTTGTTGGTTGGGAGTAGCCGATTATGGAAGAGAAATCAGCGAACTAGTATTGAGCAGCTTTGGTTAGTGCACAATTCATGTGAAGAACTCAGTCAAAACAATTCATTTTTTATGCACTTCTACTGAATCAACAAGTATTTTTTGCTCGTTACAGATATTCGCTGCGCTAAGGCGCAGATCCATCATAGCATATTTCTCAGCCCTGCCTATACACAGCCTTTTCGTCAACTGTCATATTTCTCGGTGTGATGCCGTCCTGCTTCCCACTCTCGTATATAAAACATAGCCAGAGGTCGACGTTACCAGCCAGACATACGCTACTGCGATAATCTTCTAGATGATAATATCACATCTCGTCGACATCCTCCTCCTAGCTCTTACGGTGTCTGCGTGCTTTCCAAGTTCACGTAGGTTCATGGAAATCCGTTAGCGACCTTGTGTTTATTTCTTATTAGTTCAGTATAGGTCAGTATATTTTAAGGGTAATAGGTAATTCCTCTGCAAAACCTATTGAAAACTGTACATGCAATTAATATCATATCTAAAGTTTATTTTCCATGACGATTTTTCATAAAGCCTGCGCAATTCCTTGCTGAATATCAAAATTTAATAATTTACAAAAATCCTACTTGGAACTCCTACAATACATCAGTGACTTTAGGGGAAGGTGATACCATGCTAACAGCACAGGTACTGGTCAAGACCACATACACGCGTGTTCCGCTGATGTTTTGCCGCTGCATGGCGCAGCCGCGAGGGATTCGGCCCGTTAGTAGGTCCCGCAGCATTCCTTGTGCGTTTTTTGGTAGATAATCCAATTTCGAAATGTTTGCTCTTTAATTTCCTCATAAATTATCTATGAAGTTGCGTAGATCAGTTAATTCAAGGTCTATAGGCACAGATCTACTCCAATTTCGTGGATAATTTCTGAGGAAATTGAAAAGCGACAACATCAGTGACTGCTCATACAATGTCTTCTGTACTTTAGTACGATCTAATTGAGCACGAATATAACAAGACTGCGTATAAGGCAGCTCGCCTAGCACGAGGAAGATACACGCTTTGTTTGTTATAATGTGTTCTGCGTTTTGGATCTCTGCAAATGTTGGATGAGTATGACTGGTGACCTTACATTTGCCAACGTAAACTCGGGTGTTTATTTTCAGCAGAATCTTAAAATTCGACTTTGTTGCGCTCGCAACATACTGATATATCGTGTTTACTTAGCAGGGAGGAGGCAAAGCATAAGACAATATTTGTCACAAAGGGGAAAATTTATCTTCGCCAACGAGAAATAACTTACATTAAGTGACGCACTCCACAAAAGGTTAACTCTAATTTTATAGTGTGATCATGAAGTGTCTTGGCGAGTACTGTAACATGGATTAGCATCGAGTGTAATTTCAAGTTATTTCGGTTGCTCCAGGATATTGATTTTTGCTTGCACGTTTCTTAAATTAACTCCAAAAGTCAGACTAGCTTAAATATCCACAAAGTTCATACTTAATTCTTCCACCAAAGTTCGATGTCGTCATGCATTCAAAACTATCTAATATCAATAATGCGAAAAATAGACCTTTTACAATGAAGTCCATTTTTCGCTACCAAAAAATATTCTGACAATCCCAAACTGTCTTCAACCCGATCTGTTGCCATTTAAACGACACGGTGGGCAGTTTGTATTTACGAAAACATATTGAATGCTGCAAAATTAGGCACAGCGCTCACAATTAATCGCCATGTGATATTGTGATATTGTTTACAAATAACCAATACTGTAAATTTAAACAACGTCCATCTGCAACGATTACATATAAATCAGGTCAAAAAGATTCAGAATTTTCTAAAAAATCTTAGAGGCAAATAAATATGCATAAACAAATTTGTTTAAACCTGTTCTCATCAGCCATATGTTGAGCTTAAATACCCCGTCGAAAATATTCAATTTTTATGCGGGTAAATGTGTATCAAATAAAAGCGTCTGTAAGACATGCAGTCGATTTTTTGCTGACCAATATCTCAGACAATATACACCGGTGCTGCGCCGTGGACTCAGCATGGAAATAGAGCAACCGAATGCTGCACTTGTCGAACAATGCATCCGAGTGACATCTTGCTGCCTATATATAAGTCATTCTGTCAAAGCCTCTATGAAGCATGTTTATTTTTCGTGGAGCATATCAATTTTAACAGACCATCTAAGTAAATGCATGCCGCGAACGCTGTTATGTACCTCTTATCAAAATTTTTAGTAATTCTTTCTCATTAGGCAGAAACGGGAGCAGGAATCTTTTAGGGAAAAACCTCTTTATTTGAGAAAACAGGATAAGGGATATAGCAAATGCATATGTATTCATTGTCAGAACACGCCGTGTGGTACACTGGTAACAGATAAGGTTGTTTGGAATGCCAATTACTAAAATGTTGACATATCATATGAATATAAAGATTATTAAATGGACTTAAACTGGTTGTGTACTCACATATGAACGCTTTATTTAGCTAATATAAACCCAAGGGATCTGATTGTCGAGGGTTTGAGTCCTACATCCATCAGGCTCTCATGGAAGCCGCCCAAAGGGCCAACGAATGGCACACCGGTTTACAACGTACGACTAGGAAGCAAATTTAAGGCCATGACCAATGCCACAACAATTAACATTACTGATCTTCAGCCATCCACTGAATACAAATTCAGTGTGCTTACCATAATCAAGGGCTTTGACTTCGCCATGCCCGGAATTCAAGCAGTCGCAAGAACACCCGACTTGGGTAATTTCCAAATCTGTCTATTGCTAACGTTCGGTCTACCGATTCATGAAATTGCTGCATATTCAGACTGGATACATGTTCTTTATTTACAAATCAGTCAACTAACTCTAAACTAAAAGGATAACATGATACGAGCTATCAGTGTTATTCAGTGGGCTGTCAGTTAAAGAGGCACAGTGCAGTTGATTTTTTGTGTAATTGAGTCGATATTAGAGAACTGGAGGATAGAAACCATGTGTCATATAGCAGACGATTTCTGACAAATTTTCGAGTATAAATCTATTAAAGATTTGCACGTGACCACCATTGTGGGCCCCAGTCTTTGAAACTTTTGCCATGTTTTAAATGCATGCATGTCATTAGCGTAATCTTATCAATGGGTGCACCCGTTAAAACTGCTACAACAGTGACATTTCACTATTTACGAACCTCGGTGGTGTTGAAATTTGGTACTTACAGTAGGTGTCTAACTCATGAAATGTCAACCGTTAACTAAGTAGGGTTTTTAAGCTCGTCTTTAATATTTCAGTAAGCTTAGGATGCCGAATTTAGAATAAACTTCCTTTTGGCTGCATGCAAAACCTACACGATGCAAAAACGACTGCTCAAGTGACATTAACTTTTTCACATTGATTTTCGATGTCTCTAAAAGTCCAATGGTATTTTGTGGAAAACATGCATAAAAATATTCATTCTTTTTCTCATCCGACAGAAAACTACGTCTTCGTCTAATAGTACACTGGAAAGATGGACATAATTCGGTTTTCAAAAAAGGTTTCCGATTCCCAAATAATTTTGCCCTCGCTCTACGGTCACACTTGTATTTAGGGTTTCCAAACTACAAGCCGTTTACTTTCCGCCTACGGAAAACCAAACGTTTTCCTACGCTAATAAAGTAGGACTAGGTAGAGTTAAAAATTTAAGCAGTTGACTGGATTCATATTGTAAACTTTACAAACCACATTGGTAAATACGGAGATATGATGATTTATGAACGGCCATTTCACGGTATTTAAACGTCCCGCAGTTAGAAAGTTTTTAAAACCGAATTATGTCCCTCTTTCGAGTATCAAATTGAACAAAGACGGAATTATCTACCGAGTGAGTGAAAGAATGAATATTTTTGTGCATGCTTATCATAAAATATAATTGGACTTTTAGGGGCAACAAAACTCAATGAGAAAACTTCATTCTACTTAGGAAGTCATTTTTTACAGTGTAAATTTGCATGCAGCAGGAAGGATGTTCATTCGAAAGCGGGCATCCTGAGATAACTGAAATATTATAAAATTATGTTGCAGGGTGATGAGCTTTACAACCCTACTTAATTAATCTTTTTGGAACAAAAACGCGTTTCGGAATTTCGGTTGACATTTCATGAGCTAGCCTGACCCTAAACCTAACCAGAAAATTAGCTCTAAGTTGACTGAAATTTGCCTCAAAGACATTCGTGTCGGAGGCTCTGCCTGTTCCCATGTCCTGTTTAAGGGGGCCTTATAAAATAACTGCAATACCATTTTTACGTTTGAAATGAGGATAATCTATCTATTTTGCTAAACTCAAAATGGCAAAGCCAACCTGATTAGCCTTTTTAGTGCTTTAAGACAATTTCAGCACAATTAATTAAGCGTACGTTTCATCCAAATGCGTAAATAGGTATTGACTTTTGACTTCACGATGAACCCAGGTATTACAGTAGTATCCTTAACTTTTTTTTCCACGCCGGCCTGAAAAAGGGCTTCCTTGCGAGCCATCTCTTTTGGCAGTCATTATCTGTCATTATTTTAAGTTAATTGGCTGATTATCTGGTCACTTGTTTCCTCAGTTTCGCCCGCAAGAAATTTCGCTCCGTTCAGGTGTCGTGAAAATGATTAATTTGCGCAGACGATAGGCACGAGGATTCTGTGAAGGAGATCGCGGTGCGTAGGATATTTTGGCCGCCTTGAGCTCGAAGGTGTTATCGGGGACTCAAGACAGAGCCGCTATCATAGACATGAAGCAAAATTTACCGACCTGATAATCCCTACAACGCTGTCCATTCCAGGATCGGAATTTCAGATCACCGGGCTTGCAACAATGTCGTCAGCTAAACCAGATCGGATAGAATGAATTCAGATGTTCCTTGAAAAGTCACAAAATCTCAAAGTCGCCAACACTCGGTGTCATGGGCAACCTTTGTCTTGCGTGCAAACCACACTACATGGGGTAGCTTATTGTTCTTGGGAGGTTTTCTAACTGAAAGGGGAGGTCACGTTTTTGAATGCACTTCTTGGTTTAACTGAACCAGTGGCAATTTGTTTTCTTTACTTATCATTGTTATTGCAGTGCAGTTCTCATGTCTTAACGAGGTGGCCACTAGATCGCTTGAGTTTAGTAGTTGATGAAACGGTACATTGGTGTAGACAGAAGGACATGTGAGCAGGGGTAGTATTCTGTCAAATTCTACTTCTCTGCAGTCGGCAGTTGCCTTCGCTGAATCTAAGGGTGTTCTATCTATCGCGAACTCCTTCCACCGGCTATTCGTTATTTAGAGCTAATGCGTCGATTTACATCTTTGCATCCCGAAAGAAATCCCATTCTCAATTTATCGGTTTCTTTCGTTTTTCACAGAACGTTTAACAACTTAATATTAAGTACATGGCTTAGTAAATTACCCGATGTGCAGTAAGAAGGTAACCAAATATTCTTCCACGTGGCAACTCATGATTACGGTCGAAAATCATCTCCTGTCTTCTCTATCCGTTTGCTAGCCCTTTTTCCATCCACAAGAAGAGCTCGCGTTCTGGAAAGCATTTTGCATTGCAATAAAAGAGAAAAGCTCATGCTAGGATAAGTACTAATTCTGGACAGATAAGTATGGCATTTTGGAATTTTAGTAGGGGATAATATAAAACTTTGATTTAACTCGAAATCCCACACCCATACTGTTCGATGCGCTCAGCGCCTAAAAAAGCCAACGCATTTCCACGAGCTTTGAATTTTTTGACCCGAGAAAGAAGTTAATTATTAAACTGGTGTCGTTATGGGCGATACATTCACTTTATTTTCATTCTTACATCTAGATCTGAATGGAGCCTATTCTGCGTGTCACCCCTACTGGCTGTCCTTGTCTGCCGTTAATTTTGCAGTCATGTCGTGTTTGTAATTTGAGCCTGCTTTTCAATAAAAAGAAAGTAAAACTGGAAACCCTTCAACAATTTCGTCTCTTCAAAATTTCGTACTACCGTTGGCACATTCACTTCACCACCAACTCCATTCATTATAGTCTGCCGTTGTACTGCACTCACCTACATTGGCGTCACCTTGCAGGCCCGTTATGTATAATAAATTCTTTCAAGTATTGCACAGACAAATGCTATGATCGTCTATCGTTAAATCTGTCATATCCCCGTAGGTATCAGGAAAAACTCCCTTTGACAATAAATGAATTCTTAACGCACTGGGCGTTAGACTCTATTTTCAGACTAAAATTCATGGACGGAGGATGCTTTTGGAGCACGATAAAAAAGCTATGTCAGTAAAGTGAGCAATTTAAAGTAGCTTCAAGATTAGGGGACTAACATTGAGCTGGTGTAGATGCATTAACGCCCAGAAGCACTCCTAAATGACGGAATGAATCGTTTAGGAAGTCATGGCGCACAGTAAAGCCATTCAGCCCAGACCTGTCCTGCTTATCTCTGCGCATGCGGTTTACCTTTCTCGTGAGACGATCTCGGCGACCCCAACTGACAACTATTGGCAGACGATAAGTAGATGTAGGCGCTTCCCCTAGTAAATGCCTTTGCTAATAATCGATCAAGTTTTAAGTGGAAGAAGTGCGACGAATAATCGATTATACAGTGGGAATGTAGGTTATTCATATGCGACGTACTTCATACTTTACTTCACTCCTCGGATATTGTACTCTGAGTGTTGGAGTTCTTGATATATTAGTATGCATTTGGGGATATTTCGCGCAGAACCGAATTAACACCGCGGTTTCATTTCAAAATCCCAACTGTGCTCCTTTGTTTACATCCGCCCTCAGGAAAGCGTATGAAGTTACAACCTGCTAGTATTCGTTCGCTTCTGCTTGAACGAACTGAACGCATACATAGGTATTGAGCCTAATTCATCCGCCATATTCGACGCTCGGCGCTGACATTCAGCGTACGTCTGGCGCCCCCAACGGTCATTCCGCACGAGACGCCATCAAACCCTTCGCCATATGTATTCTTATAGCATTATGCTTACGACATCGTGTCCTAGGGAGAACGTTTACTGCTTACGGCGCAGTGCGCTTACTGCCATTTCAGTCAGTTACTACGTACGCAGTGATCAATCATTACTGCCTGCTTTAATTAATACGTGGGTTTTGCGTTTCGGACTTAGTGATCCGTCGTTGCCGGCTTCTCAGTGATGCCCTAATTGTTTGTCCGGACAGCTAGACCTTCGTTACCGACGATGATTATCGTGTGCTCCACAGCGTTGGGAGCGCAAGGACGAAACGTGTACCTGAATTAGTCTATGGTAGACTTTCGCTGCACCTACCGCACTATCTCCTCCATCTTCCACCTCAGGACGCAGTGTAGAAGGCCGGAGGTGGGAAGGGGGGGGGGACGCAAGTGACTGACAGAGCTAAACAGCCCGACATCGCATGACACGCACAACCTGTTGCCTCGCACAACACACCAGGATTTCACAAAATTAGAAAGACAGCTTGTATTTTACAGGTGTCAGGGATCTGACACTGTTAACTAAATAGGTATGCCAGTTTGGTCGAGCTATTATCGCACCAGATGTCGAACGCCCTGGATGAGTGACGGGAGTTATAATTTGCCACGGATAGGGAGTAGCAATGCGAGTGCATCCGATAAATACCACAACTCCCCGTGTACGAATTACCCTTATCTGAAACTGCCCCTGTTGAGTGGTCCAAAAACTCAGGCTATTGAGCCTGAATCCCGGTCCAACATTTAGTCACTCCATACGGATATGCCGGACCGACTACGATCACAACCGACATGACAACGGGCCCGTAGCTCAATGGTAGAGTGTCAAACTCCATGACCAAAAGTATCGGATACGAATCTCAAGTAATCGACACTTGGGGTGTAGTATGACTGGCTGATGACGGCCAATAAGCCAGAAATGGCATTTTCGGTCTCCCTTGTCTTTGTCGGTACCATCTGATTTTAATCTAATGTGTATTGAACGTCGTCTGTATTTCAATAGTTCCGAATCTTCCAAGTCCTCTGAATATGCATTCTGAACGCTTGATCAGCCGCATTTGAACTTCGACATTTAATGCTTCAAATCCTGGAAATTTAACGGCCAAAACATCCCCGGAAAAGTTCATACGCGTTCAACCAATCATATATTGGGCAGGATACACCATCCTATAAAACACAAGTATCTTATCTCGATCACTTTCCTAGAAACCGGATGCAGCCAGTGCGTATCACGTTCGGCCAGGACTCGTCACATACCTGGGTGCATTTCCGAGTTCTCAAACACAACGAAATTGCAAGGGCGTCCATTCGAAATACGTTCGAATGGGGCTATAATGGACATACAGAATTTCTCCCTCTCAGAGTTGTTGGAGTTTAGAGTGCAGGATATCGTTACATCCACATCTGAAATGACTTTAATGGAGAAACTGAGCAAGTATAGAATTACGGCCGTAAGTGATATTCGTTCGACGCCCTCTGAGCGCGGTATGTTAAATGTCCCACCTACTGTACATAGTTAAGTAGCATCAGTTCGTGAAATATTATATAATTCGACTTTTCGTATTTACACACCCTGGCACTTGAAGGCAACTGATATCTCGAGCAGTTTCTTTGCATTACAACCAAAATCCGTCCTAGCACATATGTAGCCTCAGTCGTTCTCAATTAGCTTTATGGGGATTGGCTCCGCGATGTGTTTCGCATCCTTGTCCCTACAAGTGGTGCCAGTGAATGCCGTGTAGTTTAAATGCCTATTAAGAGCGTATCATGCACTACTGCATTTGCGGTACTTAGTACAGTGACGATTACAAGTCAAACGGGACCGGACCCGAAGTTACTTGTACTGAATACCCTACAACAAGCACCTCATAATAATGTCTTAGAATCATGCATGTCAATGTCATTTCAGTAGCATACTACTATGCATGACACATGACCAGGTCGCTCACTTCTCCTCCGTAGTCCTTCTGATGTTGTCGCCAAACGAAATGTTTACCCCTAGGCTAGAGCAAAACTAAGATCATTCAATTTGGCAGTATTTTATAATTTACGCAACCGAAGCATCCAGAAACATAAAATGAGCACGAAGGATTTTGTGCCTAGGCTCATATTTAACCTCAAAATCGGACTGGTTTGTCAAGTAGGCGAATGTGCCTCATTTGTCATGGTTATAATCTGCGACATAGGTCCGACAATATCGTTATGGAAAAACGCTATTTAAACTTGTCAAGGAGGCCTGATATCCCCACGTATTGTGGACGGAATCCCGCTTAACCCCATTTACTTCTAGCATTGTCGAAATAGAACAAACACTCCCTGCCATACATTTTCCTTTAATCTAAGTCTCCGAGCCGTATTTGGTAGAACAGCCCTGAGCCTATCTATTTAAGCCCTGCCGATGTATGGAAGAGACTGATAGAGTGTTCTGGGAACATTCACTTTAATCCCACAGCCGGCGAACGCACGCCTCTTAATTCGTCAAAAGGCATCTTATTTATTTTTCTCCCTGACCGCTCTGAAACATTTCGGCCTATGCCGTTCCAATTGCAGACCGCGTTCCCGAAAATTCCGGGCTTTCGTATGGCCGCCCTGAGTTGACACGGGGGTCCCTTCGCGGAAGACTCCCTAATATTCGATTTCTTATAGATGGGCGGCACGGGTGTGCGAAGGCATCACACGCGCTCGGGACTCCAGTACACGCTGATTGTCGGTCTATTTTCAAGCATGCATATGGGGGTCGGCTCGACCTGCTGTTCCATGCGTGTTCACGTCTTCCTTCGCTTCATACCATGGCTCCATTCTGAGTTTAAAAGTTTAACATCGCATCTCTACGTTCACGTTTTAAAAACCACTTTCTTTGGTGGCTGTCTTTTTCTGTGACTTCAGCCAGCGGCATATGGTGTTACTAGACTGTCAACCTCTGGGGTGAGGGGGTGGAGGGGGAGGTCGGAACCTCAAAGTTATCCTACGGAAGGTCGAGTGCGAGTTAGCCGTCTGTGTGCTTCTATGCCTCAGATGGTTCGCATGCCTTTTGAGATTTTTCAGCTCTTGTCCCACCTCGAACACAATTACCCCTTAAGTCCTTATTGTATGAATTACCCGGAACCCGAGTACTACAAATCCAGAACCGTCGGCTGATTGCTGGCAACGATACCATTTTCAGTGACGTCTCCACTGCCCCCCAACGTCCCTTAGTGCCGTCATCTCTTCGCCGCAAGGTGTTTCCCTCTCTGCACTGCATTTCTCGTCCTGGGAGTTAAACTGCTGACAATCTGGTTTCCAACCGCTTCCTCTGGCTTAGTATGCACAAACACCCAAGAGCATGTACACAGGCGTCTCTCGACTGTCGGTGAAGTCAGCCCCAACGGCACATTCCTGCTCCCGGTTCCAGAGTTCATTCACGTAAACTTAAATATTGTAGGCACCCTGCCTCTGTCCAATGGCTGTTTCTATAATCTAACCTGTGTCAATCGATTCACTCGGAGGCCGGTGAGCGGTGTTACTGTTTCCACGGTCGTCAAGGCTTCTTCCGCCGTTGAGTTGCCATTTTTGACGCCCCTTCGACAATTACGACTGATTGGGATGCCAAATTTGAATCCCACCTCTTCTAGTCTGCTCTTCGCACATTTAGGCTCTACTGGCATTCGTATTACAGCCTTTCATCCGACAGCCAATGGGATGGTCGAGTGGTTTCACCGCCTCTTTTAGATCTCCCTGCACGCTGCAGACTATCCATTCTACTACATCAAATCAGTCATTGATGGTACATCAGATGAATATTTGCGTGCATGCAGATGAAGATGAGTTTAAAATAGAAGTCCAGGTTATTGGAATGACCCTCAGTTGAGTTGCTTCCCAAAAGAGGCTGAAGGAATATTCGTACCTCATATTTTGTACAGAAAAAACGCTAAAATGTAACAGATCTTGGTGCCCGAAAATTGGCAGAATTGCCGACCACCGGACAGGTGACAGTGGAAATAACATTGGTAGGGGACGCTCACCGCTCGTTCTTAAGGAACTCACTCCTTCCGTCGTGCCTTAAGGGCTCTCTCTCGATTCCAATCAGCAGCCGCACAGCGGCGCAAGATATAGGCAGAATGATATTGCCGACAAAGACAAGCGAGACTGGAGTGGCCATTGATGGCTCATTAGCCATCGTCAGCCGGTCATACCCAACCCCGAAGTGTAGAACAGACGAGGCTCGAACTCACGACCTGTTTGTTAGAAGTCCACGTCTCTAACTACTGGGCCACGAGTCCGTTGCCCTATCGGTTTTCGATCGGGAATATACAATGGTAGGGGGCGCTCACCGATCGTTCTTACTGAACTCACTCGTTCCGTTGTGCCTTATGGACTCTCTCCCGAGTCCAACCAGCAGTAGAAATACCACTGAACGTACCTAACTGGCAAGCATTATGATGTGGGAGGGGCGATTAAACCTGCACGCCTCTGCATAATTAACCTCGGATCATGCAATGTTCAACTTGTAAAGCGTATAAAATCAGTTTTCCCCGCGATCCTCTAAAATGGCAAGTATTTATGATTTCCATTTTTATTTCACATGCTGCATCGCAATATACGCATGCGGAGTTTGGATGGCCCGCTGGCCTTACAAGATGCGCAAAGCTATCGCTAATAAAAAATTTCGAGATTTGTAGGCGTTGAGTCTGGATACTAGAATATTTATTTTTGCCACGTAGGCGTCTCCCACGGTTCCGTTTATTTTGCATCTTCTTTTCTGCTCCCCTCGGCTCGCTGTTTTGCACACTTTTCCTCAGGTAACTTTCCAGAGGGGCGGAAAATAAGTCTATTTTCCTTATTAGATGTTGCACCACATGCAGGCGCTTTGAGTCTGTGGCTGGCGTACGTTTCCAGCTGTGAGCGAGAACTCGCTTGCAGGGGGATATTTCCAACAGACCCGTCACTGCTATTGCAGGTTGCGAGGCGTGTTCAACAGTGTTTCTTTTGAGGCTGAATCTATATGTCTGGCTAGAACAGCTAAATTTCCCGAGAGTCCTGTAATAAGTCTATTTTGCTTATAAAGCATCAACAATTTTGGTCTGTAAACAAGCATTTCGTGTGCAGCATAACATTTCCTCCGCCTGAGCGTCAGAACCTGCTAGCATTTTGTGGAGGCGTTTTCAGACGTGTTTCTTCTTAGGCTGAAACTATATGTCTGGCTACCACTTGAAGTGCAAAAAATGCATTCAATCCGCTTTTCCTCGGCTCCCCTCCGCCCTCTATGCTTTTACGGCTGCTAAGTCAGCCTATGCAGTTAAGGCTTCATATGAAGACTTCTTTACGATTATCGATTTAAAGCTGCAATCCGGCAGCTTAATCAGTCCATCCTAGGCCTTATTAGATCCGTGTCAGTTATCCTGATACATACAAGGCCGCAGCCATTATTTTGACTTACAGTTTTTATGACTAATGTCACGCTCAATCCTGTTGGCATCGTCTTGACTCTCGTTCGTCTGCACAAGTTTGCAGTCTCTGTAAACTGATTAACGCCCGAGGCTCGAACTCGCGACGTGCTAATTAAAAGTCCGCACTGGCTCGTGGCCAAGTGGTTATATGCACTTGTCAGACATGGAAAAAAAGACATCCCTCGCTTGTTCCAGGTTACAGGCTGTCACACAGTTTTAGCCTCAGAAGCAACAATAGCGACCAAGCTACTGCAATCTGCGATAGCAAGGATTGGTCTTCTGGAAGTGCCTAAACACTTGCAGGTTCTCTCGCTAAGCCAGAGGAAAAGGTTATCCCATACGCGAAGGACTTGTTAACGGATTAAAATTATTGATACCCGATAAGCAAAATAGACTTATTATCGGACTGTCAGGAAATTCACTTAGAAAGAAGATACGCATTCGTAGCGCAGGAAGAGCCCTGAATTCTAGTTTCTGCATTGTGGCCTATGGAAAAATGCCAGACATAGTCGACCCCATTGGAACTTTCTTTAGTTGTTGATGGGATTAATGGTCAATCGAGAAATTGGTTTCTTAGCAAGGGTCTAACAGTTTATGCAAATCGGTTGCGGGCACATCTGTTTTATGGGACTGCATTACTTCGATTTTTGATTTCCTTGCTACGTCTAATGCAATGGATGTGAACAGTGTACAACGTCGAAGGAAGCCATAAGTTAACCAGCAAAATTGCAATGCTTCCCAATCTCTTTAGAAACTCCATTGACTTCCCAGTGAGAGGTTCACGATCCTTTGTAAATTGATGGAGTCGGCGGAATAGTCAGTTTCAAAATTTGTAAATGGATACGCCGAATACAGACGTTAAAGTTCGCAGTGGAAACTTAGGTTTGTGGATTTTTGGCTGTGCAGACATTTTGACGATGTTTGGCCCAGTTTGTGGCAGGGATAAGGAAACATTGTTTGATGGTTTATTTCTCCTTGTTAGACGCTTTAATCATTACCAATATAGGAGAACTGGTTTTGATAGGTTTTGTGGAGAGGTGTTTGTAGGTTGGATTATCTTTTAATAATCGCATCATATCAATAGTAGTGAAAATCCGATTCCCAGGTGGAATATCAAAAGAAGAGTGGGCGTTCACCGGGAGGGGTTTATTTGAGATCCGACGTTTCGGGTAGTTTACTCGTCTACCCATCTTCGGGGCGGCGATCACACAGCAAGGCAAGTGCAAGAAGCCTGGATGTCCACCGACCGCTCTGTCAACCGCCACATCAATTTGCCTCCCCCTTATCTGACTTTACGAACCTTCTTAGCGGGGGACAGTCACGGCGCGGGACAATCGGGGCCGTCGGTCATCACCGCGGCCGACGGGGGCGATTCAGGCCACGGTGACATGCGGGTTGGATGCAGCCACACAGGCGGCATTGGCGGATCACGCATTGGACAAAGGGCGCCATAATAAGGAGTGCTGTGCACAGGACCTCTCAGTCCCTGAAGATGGGTAGACGAGTAAACTACCCGAAACGTCGGATCTCAAATAAACCCCTCCCGGTGAACGCCCACTCTTCTTTTGAAATCACATCATATCTTTATTGTAATCCGCATTGTTCAAAGTTGTGGATGGACGTCCTTCGTCTGCTGGAAAAATCATGGTATTGCTGGTGATAGCGCTGACGAGTGAATCCGATCTGTTGAGCCGTGTAATGTACTATTTCAGACAGCAAGCTGTTCATCTGCTGCAAGCATTGCTGTTAACATGATTGACTATAAGTTTGCAAGGAAGCCTGGATTATTTAAATTGGGAAAATTTAAATTTTCTCTTCGGGAAATACAGTATCTCTGACGGGGTAAGGACTCTCCATGAGAGATTTATGATCTTCTGTCGTTGGAGTCTCGACATAAAAACCATCGTTTCTCTAAAAGAGTCAGATTCTCGCGGAAAAATCCCGTGTGTTGCCCCTTCAAATAAAGTTCTTACTTTTCCCAAACAAACTACTGTCTTCAGAGCATCTATGGTATACCATACTCTATGTTGGAGTATAACGTCCTTGAACGTAAAATTTGTGTAGTTTTGACTCCATGGCGTACAGAAGTTTCTTCCTTAGGATATACTGAAATGCCTAAACGTCCACGTTGTTAAGCCAAGTTTCGAGAACGCATATTTAAGTTCTCGAATGAGAGTCTTGTGTAGTTTATACTCCATGACGAGCAGATGGTACACTTTGGCCTAACTGTGAGAAGCTCGATGCCCCGGTGGGATTCTAACCCACGGTGGCAAGGGGAGGCTTTAATCCAGTCAACACCCTACGTCTGAGCTACGAGACCTAAGCGAACGATACGAATTTAGTTACTCTTGAGTCAAGTTACCCACCCAACCTACAGTGACGCATTCAATCCACCAACTCTGATACAGTACTCTGATTGCCCGAGCAGAAGTTCCTTAGTAATGCATCTAGAATCCACCAGATGACTACCAGGCTCACGTACTTCAGAGATGTTTTGGCAGAGTTCAAGTATTTTTCTTTGACCAAACTGTTTTTAATTCTGGGATACTGAAATTCTTAGACGTCTGTAGATGCCGTTTGTGATTATTCAAATCTTACTCATCAGACCCATTTCATTTTTTATCTAAGGGACATTCTCTTCACTTTCTCGCTATGCGTCTTTTAGGAGCTGAAAACAGTAATGGGGATGAATTGCTCCTTCTTGCCTTAGTGTGTGCCTTTAATGTTTGATCAAAACCGTGTCAATTTTGTGCATTAGCAGCGAGACTTATTAGTGTTCTAGGTCAGATAAACAGGTGAGATATAGGCAAACAGTTCTAATTGACAAAAACCCCATGTGTCATCCCCAATCTAGCCGATGAGCCGTTAGCATACACTTTTATTACGGCAACGGTTGTTTTCATTAGTTTGCCAAAAGTGCGATCTGGTCAGAGCCAATTACTCAGCCCCAAATATACGACCAATGCAGACCAACCGTCCTATTTCTGAATGTTTCTCACCCGTATTCATTCCTATTTACATATATATATATAGGCAGAATGGTATTGCCGACAAAGACAAGGGAGACTGGAATGGCCATTTCTGGCTTATTAGCCGTCGTCAGCCAGCCATACCCAAGCCCGAAGTGTGGAGCACCCGAGCCTCGAACTCGCGACCTGTTGGTTTAGAAGTCAACGCCTCTACTCACCGGGCCAGATGTCACGTCTAACCGCCAGGTGTTCGCCCCCTAGAGTTCCAGACACGATTCCTTTTCCAGATGATACATTTGCAGTTCATCATCAGTCTTATTGTCATTTATAAGCCATGCGCGGGCTTTGAATATATAAGTAAGTTCAGTGAAATTACTCGGTGAGGGCGTATGCTTATTTATCTTTAGAGCTTATTTTTAAGTTGTTTTAATGTCTTTTCTACGGACTACATAAGTCTTACCATTTTATTATCCCATTTTAAAGATAACTACATTTACCCACTGTATGTACCATTAATGTAGTAATAACCGCACTGACTGTTCTACATAATATTTACTGCCCTCATGGGTAATGTTCTTGTTCATGACATCTAAGAAACAGCACCTCTAGATCTTCACACTCCAGGAAGAATATTCAGGACACATTTATGGGTTCGCATTACGGTTCAGACTTCTTGCATTAGCTGCATTTACAGAAGACGTCATGGCTACAGTGCAGCATCCCAAAATGCACTACATTTACATTGTGAATATGTTTGTCATTCTACAGTATATATGCTGTCTTATTAAACGTTGATCGAAATTCTGAAATGTATTTCTGATTCGGAAGGACTACTGAGATAGATTTTTAGTATCGATTATTGGATAGCTTATTTCTAAGTCAGTTTAGGCGTGTTAGGATGCTGGATTTTAAACGCGCTTCTTTCAGACAGCCTCCTGTACTTACACACGGTAAACAAAGGCTGCTTATGTAATATGCTTTTTTGCATTAATTCTTGATGCAGGCATAAATTCAAATATATCTTACAAAAAAGCACACAGAAGTTTTTTTTATTTTTCAACTCATTAAATAAAAATGCCTATTATATTTATAAGGAGGTGGCGTCTTTAGATTTTAAACTTTTTTAATCGTGCGGTCTAATCGTGCAGTATCCCATCAGTAAGTCAGTCGGTCCTGCTGTACCGTCTTCTTAATGGCTCATATAAATGTGTGATGTAATTTCCACGGAAAGTATAAAATTTGTGGTTTAAAAAGCTTGAATGCAAACGTAACGGCAGGTCGGGATCGAGCTTATTCGGAAGGAGAAAGAACTTTCTAGAACATAATGCTATTTTATCATTAAGATGACGTAACTTGCTACAAAGATATGGATGAAAGAAGATTTCTGTGCGGGGTTTATAAGAAGTATATTTGAATTCGTAAGGACATCCAAAATCAATGCACAAAATAGTCCTACTTATGTAAACACTTCTTCGGACGGCCGAGAAGAAGCTCGTTTCAAAGCCGCCATCTTCTCCTTGCTGAAATATCTGCAAAGCTGCTACATGTACGGCAACGCTAACACACTTCGCCGTGCATTCTGGGCAATGTAATACTAATTGGAAGACCTATATACAGTGAGTGACCGATCTCGTGAAATGTTGGCTGAAATTCTGAAATGCGTTTTCGATTAGAAAGAATCACTTGGGCGCGGTTGTTACACTTCTGATCTTTTGGCATAATCGTATAACATTTCAGACTTGGCAATAGGTCAGCTTTTGAATACACTGCTTTTCAATCTCCTGTAGAAACCGTACTCGGTAAAAAAATGATTGCCTAAGTAGCATGCATGTTTCTCATTGATTTTCAATGGTCTAATAAATCCAAATATATCGTATAGAAATCGCAAATAAAAATAGGTTTTCTTTTAGGCATTTAATAGAAAATCACGTCTTCTTCATATTTTATACTCAAAGAAGGAGTATAAGTACGTGTTACAAAAGTTTTCTAATTGCACGTCTGAGACTTTGCGACGCTGTATAAGTATCCATCGTCGAGGTGCTTCAGATACCTGTGTAGCCACTTGGCTTGACTGTGAATGTGCTATCGAATCAGTGGCATTATTATCATTAACTATGCAGCTGGTTTGGGCACGTTTTGAAGGTCATATGCATGTGTGATACGCGGGTCACAGAGAGTCATGAAGCTGGAGTGATTAGAACTTATCAACTTAAGTCGAGCGATTTCATTCACCTTTTTTTTAAAATGCGGCCTCCCTTTACGGTGGATCTTCAGCGAACGGTGTGTAGGCTTCCCTGTCCCTAATGACTGGGCTTGCTTTTTGCACGTAGTCAGTTTTGTTCGTAATTGTGGTTGCGCCCTACTTGTCAGCAGGTATAATCAAAATACTGTCATGAGTCTTCAGAGTTAACAACAACTTTTCTTCATCAATGTTTAAGTTCCATTGTCGTTTCCTTTGTCAAAAGGACTACTGGCAATTCATCCAAATGGAAATCTGTTCTATAACCTCAATTTTTCCCAGCAAGCGGTTGTAAATATCTCTCTGTACATTATGCATTTCGTCTGAGGACGGGTTGATGTAACCGATGAGGGCATCTCCATTTTCCGACCAGCCCTGTCTACTTAATGTATCCGCATTCCGTAGGTGAGCGAACTCATAGAATGGCAACCGAAATTTCGAAATGCGTTTTCGTTTTGAAAGGATTTAATAGGTAGGGTTTAAAATTTAATACTTGTGCAACATAATGTTATAATAATTCAGTTACCTTTGAATGCCTGGCAAACATGCAAGACATATTCATTCTTTTGCCCATTCGGTAGGAAATGACGCCTTTTTCCAATTCCGTACTGGAGGAAAGGGTATAATGCGGTTTTAAGTAGTTTCTAACTTTAAAAATGTTTAATACCAAACATCATGTCTCTGTATTTATTAATGTGGCTTGTAAAGTTGCTAATATGGCTCAAATCTACTGCAAAATTTTATGAACGCCTATTGGTCTTCTCTTAATACCATCGAAAAATGTACAATTTTCCGTACTCCAAAAATGTACAGCTCGAAGTTTGGAAAGCCAGAATGTAACTGTGACGGTGGGTCACGTCCGAAATTATTGAGGTTTTAGAAAAGTTTTAGAAAATCGAATAATACCCGTCTTTCGAGTGTGCATTTGGGAGTAGACGTCATCTTCTACCAACTGAGTAAAAAATCAATATTTGTATGCATGTTTTCCATGAAATTAAATCGATCTTTTTAAGGCATCGAAAATCAATGAAAAAGTGCATGCTTTATAAGTAGACATTTCTGCAGAATTGTTGTGGCATGTAGACGTAAAGAAGTTTATTCGAAAGCCGTAATCCTGACGTAATTGATTTATCACATAATTATGCTGCAGGGTTATTAGTCTTACAATGCAAGTTAACTATTTTTCGGGACGAAAATACATTCCGGAAATTCGGTTGCGTTATCTTTCTCAGAGGACTTATTTATTCCAAAAATATATAAGCGTTCATTTATGTGTTTAATTTGCCCCAATTTAACTAAATCAAGCTGCGTTATTTCAAGCATGGCAATTCTGTGGATGGTTGTGTAAGCGCAAGCGACAGTTGGATGCCTACCTGTTGTATAGTCGGCTGAAATGTGCCTTTTTAAGAACAGGTTAAGCATTGGTGCACTTGGGGACAGAAGAAAATGCTGGTGATTTGGATACTACGTGAAGTTTCATTGATTAGGCAAAAACAATCAATTACGCATTGCACAGTAAACTCATGTGCATTTTCGCAAATATTTATTTACACAAAAACCTTACTAACAACACTACCAGAAACGTTATCCCCAGCTTATGAGAAACACACCAGATTTATCACATCTTGTCAATATTGCAACATGTTAAGGCTAATGGAACGTTTCGTGATTATTATGTCTGCCTCCTGACATGTTAATTAATGGATCATGCTCATTTCAAAGCACATCCAAAAAAGCCACTTTCTGTAGCATGCGCATTAGGCGAGAAACCACAAGAAAATAGCCAGAGATCATATATGGGCATAAGGTATTTGACAGAAACATGTCGCCAAGAAAGATGGCACGCTGTTATAACAAATGTCACTCCGTAAGACACTGACCTATCTTACAAACATGAAAGAAGTAAATCCACTTTAACTGCGTACTTAGCCATTTCTGTGCGATTTGTTTAGAAGAGCTAAATCCAAGGGATCTTACTGCTGAAGTTTTGAGTCCCACATCTGTGGAGCTCACGTGGAAACCACCCCAAGTCCAAATAAATGGCAGGGTGTTTTATCTCGTGACAAAAAATGACGTACGTTTACTCAAAACTCGGTACACAAATGCCACAATTCCTTCTCTACTTCCGTCAACCACATACAAACTTGTCGTGTATACAACAATCAACAACACTCGCTGGATAGTGCCCGGACTTTCGGTAAATGTAACAACATTTGACTCAAGTAAGTTATGAATCTTCCTTTGTTGAAACCTGCGTTGTCTACTTTATTGAAGCTGCCAACTTATTTCAACTCAGTTATAGGATGGTCAACCCTGGCTTACTTACTTCTACGTACCATTTCACATTGGCAGCAGGTTTCTGTCCAATTTCCAATTTTGAATTGATGTGCTATTGGGCACTTCATGCACTGCAGGTGACAGACGCATGCTCTTCATTGCTACTGTGTCATGTCGCATGTGATCCGTCCTTGTCTGTCCGTGCACGTACAAGGAGACCAGCAAAACGAATGGACGGCCGAAGGACAAAGAATGTGCATTAATAGCCATTCACAACTTACAGTTCATATATTATCTCATGACTTACCAGTCAAAAATCTAAATTACTTTTCCAAATCGAAAAGATAACCTATGTAAGACTGATAAAGTGATTGTCGTACAGCATAATCCTGGCATATTTGCGTTATGCAGGATACTCGCTCTTGAATATGATTCTTTACGGCCATCTGCAAGAAACGCAGTCTACAAAAATGACTACATATATAGTGTGACAGCTTCTCATTTATTTCAAAGGCTGTTATAAACTCAATTATATTTCTCAGAAAAGATGCGCAAGAATGATCTCCCTTTTTGCACATGAAAACAGATTCCTGTTTCTTTAACTCTCTTCTTGGTGAGATCGTATATGTTGGTCTTAAACAGTTTCTAATTACGGGGTTTTGAGACCATAAAATGTTCATTGCTACAGCAACCCATCAGCTCGTTTAAAAAGGCTACTTATAAGGTACACATATATACCAGTTCATGGGTACTATTTCACCTCTTCCTAACACCATAGAAAAGTGGGTGATTTTCTTTTGACGGAATACATTAAGCATGTGTTTAGGAAACCCTGAATGCAAGTGTGAAGACAGATTAGGCAAAATATAGTTCGGAATCTAAAACGATTATTTAAACCCGAAAGACACACTATTTTAATTTGAAGAAAGAGCAATCTTCTATCAAACACATACAGGGAAAAACTTTTGCACATGATTTCCTCAAAATATGATTAAGTTTATAAGTGCATTTAAAATCGATGAGAAAAAATGAGACTACATATGTAGAAATTTTTGCTGTGTGTGATCTTGCACGCAGCCAAATGAGGCTCTTTCAAAAGCCGGCATACTGGAAAGAGTGAAATGCACTAGGATTATGCTGCATGATAATTATCATTACATCTTTGTGTAAGTCATCACTTCGAGTCGAAAACATACTTCAGACGTTCAGTTTACATTCCCTCTATTGCATCGCAAACAACGAGAGCGATATTTTTTAAAACGAAAGGCGTATTGCCAAGAATAGGCGTTGGAAATGTGAATGAATAGATAGCCAGATCGCTTGGAGCGGTGAAATTTACCGGCCTTCCTTGAAGAATGAATACTAAGATCAACATGAAGGCAGTAAAATGTATGATACTGGATTCTAAGATCTTGCCGTATAAGGATTACACAGACGATGCTTGATTAGCTGGCCAAGTTGATGCTGTTGTTAGATGAGATTTCATTATTATGATTTAAGATTAAATTGTTGTTTACCCAGTCACCTCATTCCTCAGTTGTGCGCTCAAGATATTTTTCTTCGCGAAGGCGTTTTGAACAAAACAACTCTTTTCAGACGAAGCGCACGAAGGTAATGTGAATAAGGAAAGGAAACCTTAATGATTAGGTGATTTGCCCGTTTGGCGCGCACTGCAATAATTTTGACCTTGGTGAACTCGAAGGTGTGATCGGACACGGAAGACAAAGTCATCATCGTAGACTCAATGCCAATTTACCACCGTGACAATCCTTTTTACGCTGTGCATTACAGGATCGAAATTTTCGTTCATCCGTCTGCCAAGGATTACTTCAATTTAGCCAATTTAGCCCTAGCAATGCATGCCGATGGGCAGCCTCTGTCCTGTGCGCAAACTCTACCATCTAGGGCAGTTTTTTGTCACGGAAAACTTGTTGACTATTAAGGAGGTCTCGTTTTCGAATGTTCACATTGCTGGAGCTGCCCCAGTAGGACCTGTGAGCAGGGGTAGTATTATTTCGGATCCCACCTTTCACAGGTGACATTGAAAATTGTTGAGTCTGAAGGTATGCTTCCTCCATCGTGAACCACTCTAAACTTCGATTGTCAACGGGCACCCGCACGATGTCATTATCGTCTATTGACGTCCATCGGCTATTCATTATCCAGGGCTACTATGTCGACGAATTCGCCTTTTCGGGAAAATTTCATTCTCAAATTTAACGATTACGTTCTACTTACCTGGAACTTTCGAGGACAAGACATCAAATAAATACCTTGTTAAGTGACATAATATGTAGTAAGAAGACAGCCACACAGTTCTTCATATGACAACGCATGTTTGCTGTTACCGCATTAGGTGATCGATAAAGTCACCGAAAATCACTTCCGATCTCCTTCCTCAATCGTATAAGGACCTTTTTCCGCCCACACAAAGAGTAGGCATTCATATAGGCGTTACACTTAGGTGGAAAACTGCATGATAGCATAAATAGGAGTTAGGCATTTACAAAGGGAATAGTTAATCCTTCTGATTCAATTCGAAATTCCTGACTCATACCGTCCGACGAGCCCAGCGCCTCAAGACCGAATAACGCATTCCAGAACCTGCAGTTGTAGTACGACTAGCATAAGTTATTTTTCGTCAAATTATTTAAACGGGCTTTGACTTTACGGTATATACTAAACTTGCATTCCTATTTGCGATACAATCACTTTGTCTTTATCCTCACATCTAGGTCCGAACAATGCCTTCCCTGTGTGCTATCGGTTTTGGCTGTCCTTGTCTGCCATTATCCTCAGTCATGTCATGTTTGCTACTTGAGTTTGCTTTGTAATAAAACAATTGGGATTGGAAACGCCTTAATATTTCAGTCCATTCAAGACTTCCTAATTTCCCCAGCACGTCAGCATCGCCATCCATTTCATTCCATTCTACTTTTCCATTTTAGTTTACCGTTGTGCTTCTCTGAGCCCCATTCCCGTCAACTTGCGCGCTCGTTTCATGCAATAAAACAAACGCTATTTCTAATGTTAACATGAATTCAAGAACTCTGAAGATACCCTCTGACACTGTTACCAGACAATTAAATGATGGAAATACGCAGGAAGAGTATATCCTTATAACGAAATTAGAGGGACAGCTTAAGGACGTATTTAAGAAAATACTTATTTAATCCATTGCACATAAAAGTTCTGAGAACTTGCATACTTCTGATGAGATTGCTCAAACAGCTGCCACATCGCCCGAGAGCCGTACGATGATTTTTTCGTCAAAAAATAAATTATTGGCTTACCGAGCGTTAAATCATTTGTTCAGGGTACAAATTACGCAAGGGGGGTGGCTTTAGAGCAATAGTGCCAATTGTGGGAACCAAGACAGTATATACAAATAGTTTCGTGATCACCTCCGTAGATTTTACGGTAAGAAAATACGAGCTGATGCAGAGGCCTTCACGTCCAGAAGAAGTTTTCAATGATGGAGTGAACTTTTTTAGAAAGGGATGGCGAAAGGTAAAGCCATTAAGCACTGACGGTTTCTAATAAGCTCTGCGCTTGCAATTTAAATTTATCATGAATTCATCCCGACGACCACAAATGACAAATATATGCAGACGATAATAAGATGCATTAGCTCCCACTGTTAAAATTATTTAACAAAAATCAATCATGCGGAACATGCGACAAGCATGTGCATGGTTGGTTGACATGAAAACCAGCCGCTCGTATAATGGAGATTTACGCTGTCCATATGCGATGCACTTCTTATTTTTGTTTCATCCATGGAGTATTAGAGTTCTTGTTATATTAGTATGCATTTGCCCAACAGGCGCTCAGAGACGAAGTAAGATCTCGGTTTCATTACTAAGTCCCAATTATGCTCGTTTGTTTGATACGCCCCTAGAAATGCTAATGAGCTTGCAGCCTGCTGATATTCGTTCGCTTCGGCTTGAACGTACTGAATTCATGCACAGTTATTCAACCTGCTCTATCCGTCACATTCGACGCTAAGGGCTGACACTCTGCTTACGTCTGATGCCCCCAACCGTCAATCTACACGAGACCCCAATGAAACCCTTTGCAATATGCATTCATATAGCATTATGCTAACGACATAGTGTCCTAGTGAGAACGTTTACTGTTTACAGTGCACCGCGTTCCCTGCCACGTCTGTCAGTCAGTTCGATCCCCACTGACTGTTACCGCTAATATGTGGGCTGTGCGTTTCGGATTTTATTACCCGCCGCTGCCGGCTTCTCAGTGATGCCGTATTTGTTGCTCAGGACAGTCAGACCATCGTTACTGAAGATGACCACCGTGTGTCTTACAGCATTGTGAGGGCAGGGACGGGGACTTGGGCGTGAATTAGTCTACGGTAGGCTTGCGCTGCAAGTACCGCACTCTCTCCTCTCTCTCCCAACTCAGCCCTGTGTAGAGACGGAGGGCACTGAACCGGAGGTGGGGAGAGGGGGAAAGAGCTAGTGAGTCCATCTGCGCATGCTACACACGACGTGGGGCCTCGAACAACACACCAGGATTTCACCCGAGTGAGATAGGCATCTTGGATTTCACATTTGTGCGGGTGTTAACACTATTTGTATGCCAGTCTGGTCAAGCAATTAGCGCACCAGATGGCGGAAGTGCAGGATGATAAAGGGGAAGTCATAAATTGTCGTGGATAGATGGCAGCATAGCGACCGCATTCTATAAGTACTACAACTCCCTGTGTATGAATAAGCCGTATCTAGTGGAGTCTCTGTCGACGGTTGCGAAAAGTCAGACTCTTGTTCCAGCGATGGCATCTGCCTCTTCTCAGTAGTCATTGAGTCTGACTCACGGTTCAATTGATAATTACTCTACACGAACACACCGGGCCGACTGTGAGATCTGAGTTTTATTTGTATTTTAAGCTTTGTTTGTTAAGCGCAGACGTATTAACATCATCAGTAGTTTAATAATTCCGAGTATCCCAAGTTTTCTTTATATGTATGTCGAATGCCTGTTTAGCCTCAATTGGAGTTCGATATTTATGTCTGCAAACCCTGAATACTTAAATGCCTCAGCACCCCTGAAAATATTCAATGGCGTGAGACCACAGGTGTAACTAGGCAGGGCTCACTACCCCATGGAACAGGATTATGTAACCTCGATAACATTCCTAGGAGTTATGGATAGCCACGAAGTAAGCCGATGCACACATTCCGTATCATGCGTAGCCCGACTGCTGTTATATACCTGGATGGCTATTCCAGTTAGCTATCACAACAAAACTGCGAGGTCACCCATTCGATATACTTCCGAATGGGGATATAGTGGACATACGAAATTTCTTTTTCTCCATTAGAGTAGTTGAGGCTAAGAGTGTTCTACCTGCGGATACATTTACGTTCACGTCCGACTAGGCGTGAAAGTGCGTGCAGTAAGTTTGCTAACTCATGCCATGTCAACTGAAATTCCGAAATGCGTTTTCGTTTCGAGAAGATTAATCAGGAAGGATGGTAAAACTAGTTACAAAATTCTACAATATTTCAGATACCTCAGTTGGCGGCTTTCGAAGGAACTTCTATTCGGCTGTATGCAGTAACAACACTCTGTAAAAAAATGACTTCTTATGTAGCACGGATATTTCCCATAAAAGTCTAAGTGTGTTTCATGGAAAACGGATATGTAAGTATTAACGCGTTTGCTCATTTGGTTGAAACTTACGCCTTCCTTTGATTTTATACTCAAAGGAAGGGCATAATTTGGTCACAAAAAGTTCCTACACTTGAGGCTTTTAAAGACCGTAATAAAGCCGTTTATAAATTGTCATGGAACGGATTCTTTTTGGCAAAACTCAGTGAAAACTATGTATGGAGTGTATATATGAGGATGTGAATAGGCCGAAAATATATGCAGGTCCATAGAAGCAAAAACAGACGTCGAAGGAGCACGAAGATTGTGAAAGGTTGACTTGCAAAATTCGCGTGTTTTTGACGAGATGCAAAAACCTTCTCTTTTCCTATGTAGATCGTGCGACAAAAAGAAGCTTCTAGCTATTCTACCTTGTGTCCAATGCCCAATAACCGTTAGTCGAATTTTAGTTTGCAAACACTTTACTAAATAGTAAACGGCGCATAGGGAAAATTGGAAATCGTAAACTACGCATTATGGAATATTCCGTCTTCCTTTGGAAAGATTAAGGTGCATCACAGCGCTGAAATAATCCAGCGGCAGCAGTAGCCGATTCTGTGGTCCGGCTACTGTGTTTCGGTGGTTTTATGGTGACCAAAGACTGTGGCTTACGCGGACAGCAGGACTTTTAAGTTAACGCTAAAGTAAGTGAGCCTTAAGTTTAGATTCAATGTATAGAATGGCATCAACTGCAGAGTTAGCATTTTTGGTAGGATTAAGGCCAATATTATGGTAACGATTTGTTTTACAATAGGTTTTTTGTGGTAAGGACTGCGGAATATTAATTTCTTTAATTGCGTTGGCGGGACGTTGCTTTACTCATGTCCTGTTAAGGAGGCCATATACCTCAGTCCTACAGTTAATATCTGCCCTCAAACTAACATTTATTATATCTCACAGTTTAGTATTTTGCTACAACGGAAATCGCTTCCGAAAATTACATACGCGTGACGCAAATGCACGCTCGCACGTACAGCAGGGTGGGTCTGGGATTTCTGAAATGCTGGTGATAAAGGTGGTAGTTTTAGTGATAGAGGGAGTTTCGATTGCGAGAGGTGTTCCAGTCTTGGTAGTATTGCAGTGAAGCTCGTTGTCAAGTATGCTGTTGTATAGGAGTATATTAGTCGAAGTCGAATGTGTGCTTTGGGAAAGGAAGTTTATTGTGCAAATTTTCGACGCCGGTTCCCCGAGTCGTCGTCAGGCACAGACGGAAAGCAAATGCGCCAACACAGCTAACATCTTAAGTGCACGTAACAAAGTCTCTAATCGCCTGACGCTCACGCTAGTAAGCGGCCGTCGTGTTAGTCAGTCCGTTCTGATTGGTCCCCGCCTCTTCCATCTCTCCTTGACATTTCTGTACGCGGCATCCAACTCGATGTGCCTGTTGATGCATGAATCGTCTGAGTGCATGGCCTCAAGGAACTCTCGGCCTTTCTTTGAGGGGCACACAGCGACAGTGCGAGTTTTTTCCCAAGCGAATGTGTGTCCGGTGTCCAGGGTGTGCATGGCCACTTGAGATAGATGGTCTCGCCTCTTCACTGCCAACTGGTGTTCGTGGATGCGTGTAGAGGCGCGTTTTCCAGTCTGGCCACAATAGACGGCATCACACGCTTCACAAGGGATCTTGTAAACGACTTCTTTTTGTCCAAATAGTTAACCTTATCTTTAGGGTGCACGAGCTGAGTGCGCAGAGTAGTCGTCGGTCGGTGCGCCACCTGAATTTGGTGCTTCCATAAGTGTTTTTCAACGAGTTCGGACACATTTTTAATGTAAGGAAGTGTTCGCCAAGTTTTCAGTTCAGCCGTCTGATTTGGGCTACCTGGCTCCTTTCTCTCCGACTCTTTCTGCCTCATGCATCGGCGCACAAAATCTCTAGGGTACCTATTCCGCGAAAACAATTCACACATGAATTTTAGTTCGTCTTGATAACCTTCTTCATCAGAGCAATGTGTTTTTGCTCGATTACGCGGACTTTTGACAGCACCCCGTTTGTGGGAAATTGGCTGATTGCTCTCGTAAGGTAGAATGATTTCGGCGCAAGTGTCTTTACGGTAAACTGACGTACGTAGTGTTCCGTCAGTCTTTCGTTGTACGAGAACATCCAGGAAAGGCATTTTACTGTCGACTTCCTTTTCGAGTGTGAACGAAATC